TACAATGGTAAAATCCACTTTTCAAATAAATGGCTCCCATCAGACTACTTTTTTTTTGTAAAAGAGATTGATTTACGGGCTGCCATAATTTTGTGGGCTTTTTTCTTTCTCCGCAAACAATAGTAAGAGTACTGATAACTTTTTTCAATCACTGTTCCACTTTTCAAATATATTCCTAAAACTGCTCGTTTTCCGGCAACAATGAGAGCATGGTGTTATCGTCCCTCGCCGCATGGAACTCAAGCATCAGACAAGCCGCAAGCCATGGCGACCCTCGAAAGGCCCTTCTCCTCCTTCGCCAAATGAAACAACGACAAACCCCCGACAACTTGACTTTTCCCTTCATCGCCAAAGCCTGTGCGAAGCTAGCAGACCTTAAGCTCTCGCAAATGGTCCACGGGCACGTGGAAAAAACACCCCACAGTTCGGACATATACGTGCAGACGGCAATGGTCGACATGTACGTGAAATGCACTCATTTGGAATGCGCACATCAACTGTTTGATGAAATGCCCGTGAGGGACTTAGCTTCTTGGAACGCTATTATCTCGGGTTTCGCTCGAGATGGATATTTGGAAAAGGTCTCCTTGTTATTTAGGAGGATGAGGCTCGATGACGGTGTTGTGCCCGATTCAGTTACGGTCATGGGTTTGACCCGATTGGCGTCAGGGATGAAACATGCCATGTTTTTGCACTCTGTTCATTGTTTCGGGTTGAAATCCGGGTTTGAAAAGGATGTTTCGGTTGCTAATACTTTTATATCTGGTTATGCAAAGTGCGGTGAGTTCCGCTCGGCGGAGAGGATTTTTCTCGGCATAGGTTCGGGTTCTCTTAGTGTCGTCTCGTGGAATGCCGTAATTGCGGGTTTTGCGTATTTCGAGGAGTCGGACAAAGCCGTCCGGTTTTACTTAAAAATGTTGAGGGATGGGTACAAACCCGATTTGAGTACGATTCTTAATTTGCTCTCGTCCTTTGCCCGTCCCGAATTTTTGTCCCACGGTGTGGCCGTTCACGCGCACGTAGTGAAATTAGGGTGTGATGTGAACATCCGCTTGCTTAACACGCTCGTCTCCATGTACTCAAAGTGTGGAGATATTAACTCGGGTAGATTTATATTCGATCACATGAGCGAGAGGTCGTGCGTGACGTGGACAGCTATGATTGGTGGGTATTCGGAGAAAGGCGATTTGGACGAAGCTCTCTCCTTATTCCGTACCATGGAAGCTTTCGAGGAAAAACCAGATATGGTTACCGTTATCCATCTTATTGCGGCTTGTGGGAAAATCGGGGCCCTCGAGGTGGGAAAATGGGTGGACGAGTACACTGTTTTAAACGGGCTCAAGAAAAATCTAATGGTTCGTAACGCATTGTTGGATATGTACTCGAAATGCGGGAGCATGGCGGATGCTCTCGACATTTTCCTCACGACTCCCGAGAAAAACGTCGTCTCGTGGACTGCTTTAATCGCAGGGTATGCACTGAACGGGGACTCTGATACAGCACTAGCTCGTTTTCACGAGATGATAAGGTTGGGTTTGGAGCCGAACCGCGTAACTTTCGTGGCCGTCCTCCAAGCGTGCACTCACGCGGGTTTTCTCCAAAAGGGTTGGGATATTTTCAACTCGATGACACGAGATTACGGAATTACCCCTGGATTGGATCACTACGCGTGCATGACCGATCTCCTCGGCCGTCGAGGCAAACTTCACGAGGCACTGGAGTTCATTCGGCATATGCCTGTCGAGCCGGATGCCGGGATTTGGGGTGCTTTGCTGGCTGCATGCAAGATTCACAAAAACCTTGAGGTGGGGAAGCACGCAGCGAATCAGCTCCTGCAGTTGGAGCCGGGGGGCGCAGCCCCCTACGTTGAGCTGGCGAGTTTGTACGCGTGGGAGAGAGATTGGGGAGGGGTTTCTGGTGTTCGGATGAGGATGAAGAGTGAGGGAGTGGGGAAATCGCCCGGGACTAGCATGGTGCGTGTTGCGGGGAAGAGTTACTCGTTTACAGTGGAGGATAGGGGCCGTTGGATGGGGTGTGGGGTGTTTGAGACGTTGGATGGTTTAGTTTTGCAGATGAAAGATGAAGGCGATTGTTTTGTAGTGACGGGGGAAGTTTAGATGTGATACCACCTTTTTTTTTTCACAAGATATATGACAAAAGCAACAAGAAGCCGCTAATTAATTCGTCGTGTTAAAATTATTGTTTAACTTTGCTATTGCATGACTTGTCACTCGAAAAAGCCGAATTATAAGGAAGAAAACAAGGCACGAATTCAGTGAGGTAGTCAAAAAGATCAAAAAGAGAATGGATATTCTTCTTACTATAATAAATCATGTTGAGTTCGTTGTTCAATACCTAAGGACACCATCACGCGTATGTCATGATGATGTCATTCGTTGTGTATGCAGAACTGCCATTCCAGTTAATCTAATATTTTGGCAAAGAGCTGAAGTTGTACATAATTATCAAGTCACATAAATGCTTAACAGAAGATATGCAATTCCTTATATATTTCTTTTTAACAAGAAATTACAATCTTCTGTTACAGATCATGTTTCATAGTGTTTCAATAACATCCAAGTGAATGCCACGTGTATATGAATATGATTATATAAGACATCACCTTAATTTTACCCGCAGCTTTCATCCCGATTTAATAAAAGCAAAAATTTACCATTGACTACCAATACTCCTAACTAACTTGCTTTGTGGACATGTACAAGTTATGAATACTCCTATACCTGCGTTTTTTGACCGTTTTGTCCCCAGATGAAGACGAAAGGTGAAAGCAAGAATTATTTGCACTTCTCCTTCTCTTGTTGCATTTGCAATATTGGCGTTCATTTTTGGATGGAGTTTGATCATGCTCGAGTTTGTCGATATCTTCATCCCCGAACAACTGTATTAAGGTCCTCGTGATTATGGCCGCCATACGATCGAATTCCTCAAGGCTATTTTTATGATGAGTATTAATATTGGGATCGATTTTAGGGATGGTTTGTGAAGGATCAGTCATTTGAAGTTATATTATGTGTGTTTGTGTGTGTGATATAAATATTTATGTGGGTTTATGGACTGGTGTAAGCGTGTTGAGAGGNACAGCGAGAAACATCTGTGCTTTTGGGTAGGAAGATGATGGGAAGTTGCACGTGATGATGCTGATATGCGTACATGAGATTCACAATTACATATATATTTAAAGAAAAAGAAAAAACAAGGATAATTTCATTGAAAACTACCCGGAGGTTTAGTTTAATTAAAGAAGGAACCGCATCATCAGTTATTTACTAATTTACATATGATCTATAGTAATATAAAGAGTTTGATGGAAAAATACAAAAATAGTATGTTTGACTTAAAAAGTAAAAATTTTGACTTACTAATTTAAGTAACACCAACGGGGCCCACGCGTTAAAATTAAATTTAAGTAATAAATATCTCATAGCAAAATTAGTTCAGGTTTTATTAACCAATGTCAACAGATTCTGTGGGATTTTATTCTTAACCAATCTTAACAGATTCTGTGGGATTTTATATGTTCACAATTTTCCTAATTACTACAAGATCTTGAAGACAATGATCGAAATTGCCTTACCAAAATTATCTTAACTATATTGCTAAGATTTTGATTAATTTTATATATAAATTGTTACCAATTTTCTACGATAACTGCAGATTTTTAGGGCAGCTACAAAATTGCCGATTTGGACGTCTTTTCACATTTGTTTGGATTTTTTTTTTTTTTTTTACTAACAGATATATGATCCGATTTTGTAGGATTGTATTTGTCCACAAATTTCTTAATTACTACATATTGCATCGAAATTATCCAAATATTTTTGTCAACTCATCATAAGCAAAATCAAGTAAATCGGATAGGATCCGACGGGATATTGATCATATCACAATAAAAAATATCGGATAGCTGTTGAATCTGACGGTATATTAATCATATCACTATAAATATCCTATCTTTCTAATGCATTCATCGTATTATTACATTCAAACTCATACTCTCGGTTCCTTCTACATTAAATAAAAAATAAAAGAACGCACTCACACTAATGTTACTTTGAACGAATCACAAATAACTGGGCAGCGCATACGAATCGTATTTTGAGATTAGTAATCTTCTTTTTTTTTTGTTCAATTTATCCAATATCTAATGCCCACATTCTTTTATTTGTTTTTTTGGCAGACGTACAGACTAACGTATAGACTGACTCACAGATTTGTGTGTGAAGAACCTTCAAGTTGTGAAGAATAGAATTGGATGGAAAAGCAATAACGACGACATTGTTCACAACATCATCAGAAAACGAATGTTGTAAGTTTTTTTATAATTTTTTTTTCTCTACTTCATGTGTAAAGATGAACTTATTTTTTATTACAGTATACTTACTATTTCATGTTTAATAGCAACAAACACAAGGATGAGTGGACATCTAGCCTACGTAATGGAAGGGAAAACAACAAATAGAGAAAAGGAAGGGAAAACAATAGCAGCTACAGAACCTCATAACACACTTCATGGAATTCAGATCATCAACAGAAGCAGATTTTATGACAAAATTCAATAAGTACCTTTAAATTTTGTTTTTTTTGTTTTACCTTTATTGTTAACACTGAATTCTATATTTTATGCATGAAAAGAATAAGAAAAAAATTTGTTTTTCAATGAAACCTATCTATTTTATATTTACCTTTGTTTACCTTTGAGTTTGTTGTGAATCTGTTAACTTTTATACGATTACAGACTTAACATAATTCTTAATAGTTGCTATCAAACATGTTCAGGTTATGAATTTTAAGGATATAGTTTTACTAATAAAAACATATGCATACAATCAATAGAATGTCATAGCCGATGTTTAGTGTTAATATGACTGTAGTTTACTGATATACAAACTTATTCTAGAAATCTCTTGGATGTAATGATATATCTTCATGATATGATAATCAATAGCATTACTTTAGTACTAAAACAAAGGTAATCATCAAAGGGCAGAAAGAGCCAGTCATTACTGTTAACAGGGTTATAGGTAAACTGTGATAAAACCATAATTACAGTTACAAATATCCCAACACTCATTACAGTAACAACCCAAATGTTGAGTAAAAAATAATCATTAAAATTACAGCATGTACATTAACTCAGTGATATACCAAATACCAATAGACAAATTGTACATTCTTCATATAGTTCAAGACGTTTGTTTCATAGTACAAAGCAGTGATACATAGATAATCATATGATAAATTTTTAAAGAAAACAATATGTTTTTTTCAACTACCTTATTTTTTGCTCCAGCTTCTGAATCATTAATGAAGTATAGCAAAATGTCGACTCCCGAAGAATCCATTTTCTATTTGTTAGTCATCTGTTTAAGAACAAACAACAATACGGCAATATAGATCTGAGTTAGTATTTGAAATGGTATCAATGTTCCAAAAACACATAATTTTGATGTGCACATTAGTTTAATCATAACAGTAACAACAAATCGATATAGAATTTAAAATATATAAATATTTACAAACTATTACAAACATAATCGTTCGTAATAGTAGTTTTCATGTTACTTTTTCTTAGAACTTTCTGATTTGGAAGATATCCGAATGAACAAACAAGATTCGTATGTGTTTTTGGATCAAATGTTCGACATTCTAAAAAATAAAAAATTTAAGAAACAGGACACACTAAAAAAATGTGAAGTAAAGTTACTGTTCAAATTGAATTTTAAAAATCGGTCTGAAATCTAATTAAATAACAGATCTAAAACTTTTTATAAATAAATTATATACTTTAGTAAAATATCGATACTTCATTTCTGGATTTCATTTTTTTCGACACAAAACTTTCGGATTTGAAAGAAAATTCAAAAAATTAAACCAGATTCGTCATATATTTTAATAAAATTCACAGAAAATGATAGTGAACTGCAAAAACCATAAAAAAGTATTCATAAATTGAAGAAAATCCATGAATAGTAGGCTGATCTATAATATTTTTTTTTATCATTTTTTGAAATCGGACTGTCTATTGACATTATCTGTGAACAATGAGTTAGTAGATCTACGGTAAAGGAAAAACGACCTTCAATTTTTATACAATAATCCCGAATACAAAAATTAAAAAAAAAAAATGAAAGACCTCAGTCGTTCATAAAATTTTTGAATCGGGTGTATCATACATATTCATCAGATCATATTCGACTGAGATTCTTTTCAAACTCGACTAACACTAACTCAAATAGATGAAAATGAAAATAAAAAAAAAATAATAAACTGAAAAATCCCATATCAAGTGTTTCGAATCCGTGCTCAAAACAATATGCATCATGTCGTAATCGACATAGATTCTCATAAAAATCTATTATCATGAGCTGAGTTCGTTCAAAATTAAAACAAAAATAAAAAAAAAATGAAACGAAAAGTCAGGTGAAGGGTCGAGAAAGATGAATCGGTGGGAGAGAGAAGTGAGAAGAAGCTGAGAGAACAAATGACAAACCCTAAAAAATCGGGTTTTTTTTTACCTTTTATAGTATGCTTTATTGATTTCAGGCCGTTAGATATTGTTTGACTAATATTAGCCGTCCGATCAGCTAATAGTTGTTTATGGACCGAGTTTAATCAAATGATAATGGGTCAGATTTTTTGAAATATATTTGGCCCTATTCGGACGGAATCATTAAAATTTTAATAATAGACCGACTTTACACCACTGCTAATGGACAAACTTTACTTTAATTATATATTTAATTTAATGGTATTTCATTTTTTTTATCAGTAAATGTAAATTCATAAATCAAAACTGGTGTACAAATGACCAAAAGTCGGCATACAAAAGCGCAATAAGGAGCCACAATCTCGGCTCCCCATTGGCCTATAAATCAAAAATGGTATTTCATTGGCTTATTGTTAACAAATCTTGGATTTTAGTAACAAATTTGATCTGATTTTAATAACAAATCTCATATTTTGGTAACAAATTTGATCTTATTTTGATGACAAATCTCGGATTTTGTTAACAGATTTGATCTGATTGTGATAACAAATCTCGGATTGTGATAACAAATCTTTTAAGATATCGTTTTTCTTTAGTAACACTCTTCAAAGTTATTTACACACAATATATTGTCGATAATCTTTGGAATTTCTTTTGGTAACAAATTTCACAATTTTTTCTATTGTTTGGAGTTACATATTGCAGAAAAAAATCTAGAGATTTGATAAATGATACATATCAAAATAAAAATATTATTTTTCAATCAATACAAAAAGCCTTACCAAATTAAAGTGTAACAAACTCCATTAATTTTGGTAAACATTATGCCTCATTGATATGACACATAATCTTCCAAATATAAATTTAATTGTTGATTTACTAGCATAAACAATAATATCAATGGGTAACCGCGCGTCGCAACACGGCAAATTTAATTTATAATATTTTCCTCGACTAACCTCTACTAACTAGTAGTAGCGGCGAGTAAGGGTCGATCCCACGAGGAGTAGGAATTAAATCGTGATAATCTCGTATTAATTGATTTAAACTAGGAAAGCAATAAAGGTGGGGGGGATTGGTTTTATAAAAATAAAAATAAAAATACGAAAATAAAATAAAAATCTAATAAAATAAGAGAAGTCCAGTTTTCGGTTCAGTTATCACCCAATCTAAATCTACCGTTAATTAATTTTGACGCTTTCTCTAAATTGCTAACGAATTACCAACCCTAGCTAACAACAAGCTCTGTTAACCGAATTTTCCCTTACCGAATATTTAATCGAAATAGGCTCTTCGACTAAACCTAACTAGCGGACAACCTAGAATAAGCTCTCTAGATTTAATACACTAGCAGCATTAATTACTAGGAAAATAGATTGATCTAAGCAATGGACGCAAAAGCTCGGACCATTTAACTTATGTTCACGCTACCCTAGAGATGCCCGACCCCTAGTTTACTACTAACGAAACGAGACAATAACAATTACGGATTAAAGTCCCGAATCTAG